TATCCATGTCGTATGTAGGATTCTCTTTGAATTTAATGCAGTGGGCTACGGAAAGATCAGTGGCTAAATTTCCTGTCTGAAGTTTTCTTCTTTTGGTCTTATCCTGCACACATGTACCTATTGGGAAAATTGCAAACCACTGATATTTTCACAAAAATATTTACACATTCATGGAAACCTTTATAATTTTAATTATGAAACTTAATAAAGTTTACCAATGATTTGCAAAATTTTTTGAAAACTTATAATGAAGTACAATTTTCCCTAGCTATTTTCTTCTACTCTACTTACATTTTCCATTTTGATCATTTTGGGATATTGTTGGCTCCAGTTTATAAAAAACATATATATATATATTTTTTTTAACTTGCTCACCTGTAAATGAGCATTTCAATTTTCACATATTATTTTAGCAAATACTATTGGACATGTCATGAGTTGTAATATCTAAAACTTTGTCTTTTCATTTTGTTTTTTAAAAACTTAAAACTAATCTTCATTGGATTGGAGCCTAGTAGAATCAGGAATATCTGCCATAGTTGTACAACAGGAAAAACTAATCTTATGTTGTAGAGTTAAGCCAGATACGTTTAAGTTTTACTAGGCTGTAGGTTGCTTCTTACTGATTGATGTATACGTTTTATGTAGGGATTGAAGCGAGTAGATTTAATATGAACGTCGGTAATATGAATGTCAATCCTATTTACTTGAATGTCAATGTAAATATGAAAGTGCGTACATGTTCGCATGCCCTCTAAACAATGTCTTCACTTGTGTTTATGTTTATGTGTAGATTTACATGCCTTTCAATTATGGAGGAGTACATTGGGTGTGCCTAAAAATAGATATGGTAGACCGTGTGGCGTACCTATTTGACTCATTGGCATCCGCCACACTGGACACCAACAAGCTGAACACAGCAAAAATGTTGGTATGTCGTGCTGAATTTCACAAATCTACTTCCACACTGTCACATCCTTCACATAAACTAACCGTCTCATTCTGCAACAGGTTCAAACAATGCATGCCTTACTGCAACTACAGTTTGGAAATGAATATGCTGTAGACGTGTGTACCTTTGACGTCCGCATGTTAGAACAAAGGCCATTACAACAGCTGGACGAGTAATCCACAAACCCTACGTCACATTGACTTCACTCCTGAATCACTCATTTAACGAACCTGCTTATATTTTTACGAGAAACTGAATGTTACATTTCATTTGTAGCACTTTCGACTGTGGGATGTTTGTGATCAAGTACATGTAGCGGCTTGATATACCCAGCGGTCCACACAAGGTACATTGTACCGCTTAATTTCCAATTGCGAAATAAATCTGTTTATTTCCTACTGCTGTAACTGTACCTGATTTGTGTTATTCGCTTTCTGTACATAGTTTCATCCTTCTGTGCTCCAGAAGTTGGTGCTTGACTTCGTTATGGATGTGAACAATACAAAGATGGGCGAGTATCGTTCGTGCATGTGATTGATTGCAATTACAACAAATAGGGCAGCGATTTTATCATGGACTGCCAGTACGAGAGTAATTTCGATGCCCAACCACAACTGGATTACTACATCAGCTTGTTGTGACAACTTTTTAGGTCGCAGCTGTGATAATACTAATTTCCCACGCGCATTGATTGTACATATAATTCCAATGTTTGGGACTGGAACAAATGAGGGAAAGTAGTAATGTTTGTTTGTTTTTATCGTGGCCTGTACGTAATGTGATACACATAATTCCAATGTTATGGGTACAGAACAAACAATGCAATGTCATATTTGCCCAAATGACTATAGTAATGTTTGTCTAGTGCAATGTGATATTTGTCCAACAAACAATGCAAGTTGAAAGTAGTAATGTTTGTTCGCTTTTATCACATGAATTATGTTTGTTCGATTTTTTTGAATGCCATGATTTTGTCGAAAACAAATAAAAAAAAAAGCCCACAGAACAAACAAATAGCGGTGACTATAATGCACTTTAAAGGGGAATTGATTACTTCATAACAATGCACAAACGGTGAAAAATTGCACAAAAAATAAAAACAACCATACAACAGACCATTAAAAACACAGAGTATTGATATTCAATTTTTTTTTTGTTCAGCAAAACAAAAAACTGTATTGATGAAAAAGCACATACAAGGTGTCAATGATACATCAAGAAAGAGAAGGTTGGAGCTAAAAAAGCTCCAACCTCCTAGTTGGTGAGAGACCAACGAAGAGAAACAAAAACAGAAGGAAAACAATAAGAATGTAACTCCAAGCCCATCCTCACAAAACCACATAACAGGGCAACCAGATGAAACTCCAAGGCAGCATGAACAAATTTCAGACCATACAACCACCATTGAGACTTGAGCCTGAGCCTTCAACCTCCATTGAGACTTGAGCCTGATCCTTCAACCTCCAAAAAAAAAAAAATAACTACAGCAGCAGACCAACAATTACAACAAGGCCAGCAGCAGACCTCCAATAACTTTCCCCAATCCAGCAGCGGACTTCTAATACAGCACACCAAAACATCATTCAAACAATTGCAAAAAGGCCAATATGCAGCAGCAGACTTAAGCCTATTCGTTGATCCCACATAGCAACAGCAGAGTACATATATAGCAGAGCAGAGTTGAAGCACAGCAGAGCAGCAACCAGAAATGAGCATGCTTGACCCCATAAACTAAGCCAGAGCAACAAGCCAAAAATAAGGCAAAGCATAGCAACATTGAAGCACAGCAGAGCAAAAGTAGCCACCAAGAAGATATGGTAATACCACAGACTGACCAAAATCCTGCATACCACAGCTTGACCAAACTCCTGCACCCCAGTTTCAAAAAACACCAAACACCACCCCCTAAATGAGACTTTGATACTATCCAGAAAACAATATATGTCGTCCACTGAATACTGTAGGCCTCTATAACTTTGCTTACAGCAAAGTGCAACCCTCACTTTCACCATCTCAGCCAATTCAGGCCCATCAACAATCTTATCATTAAAAAGGCAATCATTCCTACCTTTCCAAATCATTCTTAGCTGTGCAATACAAAAGAATACATATATAAACTAGCCTAGGATTTGGGGAACAGAACGGCTAGAACACCCCACTCTGATTGAGCATCTGCCAGCATGGCTTGGGCTTGGTCCAACTCAGCTTATGCAGAACGATGTCTGATTTGGGAGAGCATCATCCTTGCTTCTTGATTAAGCTGGTCATGTTGCTGCTGCAGATGAGCCTTTCTTTGCCGGACAGAGGCAAGTTCTGCCATGAGTTTGGCTTCCTCAAGTTAAAGTGCTGAGTGTTGCTGAAGAATGGCTGCAGAGGTTTGATGGCTGAGTTTGAGTGAAGCAGATATGGTGTGGGCTTCGTTTAGGAAATCCTTTTTGGTTTGAATATCCTTCGAGCAAGTCTGAACCATCTCTGAAAGGGTTGGCCATTCTGTGATGATCTTGGCCAATTGCTTTAGTTGAATGGGGTTGAAAGGATTAGGGGAGAGGTTTATAACAGCAGAAAGACAGGCCAAGGTTTCATCAGGTTTGTGGAGAATAATTTCTTCAACTGGGGTGTTAATGAGGTTGATAAAGGTGGTTAAGGTTTGTTGAGTTTCAGCATCAAACAGATGTAGCTTTTGAGGCCATGGGGATATTTCATCTAGATCTTGTTGAAGAATAGAAAGTTCGGCCCAAATATCCTGGCATGGACCGACGGCCTGTGAACATTAATAGGTTGGTGAGAATATATGCTTGCAAGTAATAAAGAGTAAATAGGATGAGGTTGGAAATGGTAGTACCTGTCCTGATAACATGCGCGCAGACGGTTGGCCTTGTTCAGCTGTGGTTGTGGCATCAGGACGAGTTGTTTCTGGTATTGATGAAATGGCAGCATCAGTGCCTTGAGGCTCTTTCTCTGGTTCAGCTAACAGGGGAAAGTCATGAGGACCTTCAAGTTCTGTCTCGCCCACTGGTCGTGGAGATGAGTCCTGTATTATGTCTATCCCTGTAAATTGGAGAACAATACCAGTTACTTAAAAAGAAGTTTTTTTTCCCAAACAAACAATAACATTTGTATTTCTATTTACCTTGGTTGTGTTGAACTTCTGGTTGAGGGGATTTTGTGTTGTCATCTGTTGGAGAGGATTGGCTGTTGATTGAAATGTCAAATTCAATCCTCTGTGATTCTTTGTTTGAAGTTTGGGAATTGGAGGGTTTGGATGGTGATGGTTGAGGGCTAGAGACAGAAGGGACAATGTGTTGAGGAGAAGTGGAAGGATGTTGTGATGCAGATTATGTAGATTGCTGTGGCGAAGACTGTGAAGCGGGTTGTAAGGAAGTTTGTTGCGATGCTTCAGGTGGTGGTGGAGTTAGTTGTACAGTGGGTTCTGTGAGAGATGTAGCCTTTGAGGCAATGAGGATATTTCGTCTAGATGTTGTTGAAGAATAGAAAGTTTTGCCCAAATATCCTGACATGGAACGATGGCCTGTGAACATTAATAGTTTGGTGAGAATATATGCTTGCAAGTAATAAAGAGTAAATAGGATGAGGTTGGAAATGGTAGTACCTGTCCTGATAACGTGCACGCAGACGGTTGGCCTTGTTCGGCTGTGGTTGTCGCATGAGGACGAGTTGTTTCTGGTACTGATGAGATGGCAGCATCAGCGCCTTGAGGGTGTTTCTCTGGTTCTGCTAGCAGGGGAAAGTCATGAGGACCTTCAAGTTCTGTCTTGCCCATTGGTCGTGGAGATGAGTCCTGTATTATGTCCATCCCTGTAAATTGGAGAACAATACCAGTTACTTAAAGAGAAGTTTTTTTTTCCCAAACGAACAGTAACATTTGTATTTCTATTTACCTTGGTTGTGGTGAACTTCTGGTTGAGGGGATTTTGTGTTGTCATCTGTTGGAGAGGATTGGCTGTTGATTGAAATGTCAAATTCAATCCTCTGTGATTCTTTGTTTGAAGTTTGGGAATTGGAGGGTTTGGATGGTGATGGTTGAGGGCTAGAGATAGAAGGGACAATGTGTTGAGGAGAAGTGGAAGGATGTTGTGATGCAGATTATGTAGATTGCTGTGGCGAAGACTGTGAAGCGGGTTGTAAGGAAGTTTGTTGCGAATGCTTCAGGTGGTGGTGGAGTTAGTTGTACAGTGGGTTCTGTGGGTACATTGCTGATTGGACTGGGAATTTGATGAATGTGTTGAGGAGAAGTGGAAGCATCGTCATCATCAGCAGCAGCAAGGAGTAATCTCCTTCTTTTTCTCTGCACAAAAGTAAGTGATCAGTCGGGCGTGAATGGAAATTGAGATGCTGTAAATATGTAAAGTGAAGGCTTACTTGGTAGAGCTGCCCTGAAGGATTTGATGTTGTTTCGCCAACCATTTGGCTGAGAGGGATATCCCACTCACTTAGGTCTGTGCTTAGAGCAGGAGCAGTGGAAGGCTCTTCTCTCTTCTTCGCCGTGACCTCTGTCTCAGCAGGGGTACGGGTGGTAGCTCCTCTCTGTGCTTGTGTCTGCGCGGCTGCGAAAGAGTCTGCCATTAATTTCGGAACTGAGGGGGTGTTTGTCTGAGTAGTTGCATCCATTGGATCCTTGCCTTTACGTTGGTCCCTAACCAATGGTTCAGCAATAGGCCCAATTTTGGCTGTCAAAGGTTAAACAAGTTAGTGTTGTAGAGAAAAAAACAAAACAAATTGCATGACACCGTCAGGGATATGAAGTATATGAAGGAAGGATACCTGTAGCCTTAAGCTTAGAAGGCGAGGATATGCGGCCCTGAATATGAATACAAGTATCGTTAAGGCAGCTTTCAAGTGGCTTGTAGAAAATAATGGCAAACATAAGTCCCCACCAATGGTCAAAAGCAGCCAAGTAGTCCGAAGCAGGTTTGAAGAAGAAGGGGCCAAAATCTTGGAAAAGTTTGGTGTTCTCTGTCAGAATGGATTCAGCTTGTGTAGGATCTTTGAAGTGGATTCTGGACCCAATCTCCTCATGGATGGAAATAAGGATAAGGGATATCCTGGAAAAGACCAAATTGCCTGGACCATTGATTGGGACAGTATGTCTCAAAACTGCAGCTAGATAGCTTGGCAGAGGATATGGAACAGCTAACCAAGACATGTCTAGACGTGAGAATGTGTCTCCAACTCTCATTTTGTTCTTGGACTTGCTCATTGTGTAAATCAGAAGGGTCTGTGAAGAGGAAGCGAAGTCTACTGGAGGAGAATTCAAAGTTTTGAAATGGCATGTACAGGTTGGAAGGTCTCTGCGAAGGAAGGTTGTAAAACATGGTAAGATGATTTCTGAAAGTGAGGATGGGTTGGCTGTTATAAGTGAGCAGTTGCTCAACATAGGAGTAGCAAACAGGTTTCAAGGTGTTAGGTGGTGGGGGTCGTGCCTCAGGGAAATAGGCATACAACCAGGCCTGGAAGAGCCAGAAGGGGCCACCACAGTTGCTAGAAATCTTATTGTCGACAAAGGAAAATAGGACCTTGTAAAGGGTGGCAAGAAGATAAGGGGCTAATGCCATAAGTTGGACATCTTGCATACACAAGGCAAGGGGGAGGTATTCTTTCGTGATCTTGTACCCAGGGACACAAAAAAGAAACTCACAAAGCCAAAGTAAGTAAAAAGCAGTTCTTTCTTTGTCATCGACAGGGGAACCAAGCTTGCCTTGGTATTTTTTGGCAAAATCTATATAGCACATGTCAGTGTTTAAAGTAAATGTCACTTTTGGAGGCTCAAGGAGAGCATGAATTGGATTGCCCAAGATTGGCAGACCAGTCAAGTGAGCTACATCTAAGATGGTAGGGGAAATCATACCAAAATTGAGGAGTAGGGAGTTACTAGACTGCGACCAAAAGCATGCAGCAGCAGCAATCAGCCCTTTCTCCACGTCATAAATTTTAGTCGACAGTCTAATTGCTTCAGCAATGCCCTGGTGCTTCCATACTTCGGCGTCGTGACCTTCAATTCTCCTGGCCCAGCTTCGCCAATCAGAGTCTGGTGACCTCCACCCTCTGAGTCGGTTTTTGCTGACATTCCAGTTAGTCCACTTGAGTCCAGCTTGGTTGAGAAGAAGGTTCTCACCATTACCAAGGGGATAGTATGGAGCTAGCTCGTCTGGGAAGTAAGACGCAAAGGTAGGGCCTAGAGTAGCCTTAGCGACAGAGCTTGGGCTGGGCAATAGGGTTGCAGCAAATTTTAGAGGAGCGATAAGTGCTCTGATAGGGTCCGGGAAGCGGAGTAGGTCTTCATTGTTCTCCTCAGATGGAGATGGTTGAGATTTTTTCGGTGCCATGGCTTAGGGTTTTGTGGTGCTCTGGTTTTGAACGGCAATGGTTGAGAAGAAGGAGTACAGTCTGGGGAGTTCGAATCAGAGGGAAATGAAGTGGTTTGAAGTTGAAAGGGTGGGTCTTTTATAGCTTATGATGGGGCCAGTATATTTAAAAGCTCTTATATTGGGCTGTAGTTTATGTTTGTTTTGGGCCCGTATTAAGAAATTTGCTATTGGGCCCAAACAATGGCCCCCTCGTTGAACTTAAATATCATATGACTTGGACCCCCACAAGGGGGACCCCCATGACCCTCTCTCTCTCTGATTGGCCACTTTTTTTTTTTTCCATTTCTTCTTTTTTTTTTTCTTTTCCTTCTCCAATCAGCAACCCCCACGTGTGTGTGTGTGTGGGGTGGGTGGGGGTGGTGCAGGTGGTGATTGGAGGGGGTCTCAATCACTTCCGCAATATTTAACTTGAACATGGGGGCCATTGTTTGTACCAAGTTTTGCCAGTCTCTGTCGACAGATGGTCCACTTAATCGAGGGCATGTGGCCAAGTCTAAAGGAATGTCCACGACCTGAAATTGGGCTTTCTGCATGTGGGTCACCTAGAAGTGATAGGGGAAGTTTTTATCACCAGTCATGGAGTTAGTGGGCACACTTTCAGGAGGAAGCATGAGACAAAGCAGGAGCCTTGCTCTGTCGACAGAAGTTTAAAACAGTTGGTGGCCATGAAATAAACACAAGAAAATGGAGCTCGACAGATAGAAGTGGAGGTTTAGTATTGATATCCGTATACTGTTTTTGTGGCCCATCATTGCATGATCCCACACGTCTACACCATAACTGCCATTGTAACTGCCCCCTGACTTCGAATCTTCAAGTCCCCTGAAAACCAATATTGACTCTTCCCCGTCGACCTTCATTTACACCATTGTAGGGCATGTCCCTCATCATTATGAGTTAGTGGGCATACTTTCAGGAGGAGGCATAAGACAAAGCTGGAGCCTTGCTCTGTCGACAGAAGTTTCAAACAGTTGGTGGCCATGAAATAAACACAAGAAAAGGGAGATCGACAGATAGAAGTGGAGGTTTAGTATACTTGGAATGCCTAGAACGGAGATCGTTGGTTTCGATATCCGTATACTGTTTTTGTGGCCCATCATTGCATGATCCCACACGTCTACACCATAACTGCGACTGTAACTGCTCCCTGACTTCGAATCTTTAAGTCCACTCTGTCAAATATTGACTCTTCCCTGTCGACCTTCCTTTTCACCATTGTGGAGCATGTCCCTCATCGTTATGAGACAAAAATCGACAGAATATTGTCCACTAAACACAACCACAATCCTTGCAAACTGGGCCACTGAACCGCAACACTTGGCCACTCACTGTTACTTCCCCTGACTATGAATCATCAAACTCTGCCAAATATTGAATTTTTCCTGTAATTTAATCAAAATATATTCAATGTCGGTAAACTTGAAAATATGTTTGAAATAACCTTTTTTTGTATTGTAATGACTTAAACACAATTGTTGTCCTACATTTTACGTAACGAAAATACACAACTTATTTATATCAAAAACAAAATATACATCTCGGGTTTATAATCAAAAAAATGGGAACTACTTTTTTTAAAAAAAAAGTTCACTCATATTTTCAGCTACATTCTGATTGGATATTAGATTAAAAATTCCTCTTTGCACCTATTTTTTCCCACATCCTCCCAACAGCTGCTCCATTCAACTAACATTGAATCTTGCATGCCACCTGACTTACACGCTGGAGCAGTTACTGGCAGTGCTCATGGATTTAATGGCCACCCTCCAAGAGGAAACATGAACGAATTGGGAGTCTGTATCTGTCGAGGAAAGGCTAAAAGGACCTGGGCACAGGTGACAACTTCAATTATATGCACTTCGACAGGTACAAGTGAAGCTTTTATGTGGTTTCAATACACGGAAATGACCGTGCAGTTACAGAAGTTGCACAGAAGCAGTTGCAGAATTGGCAGATCATGGGGTCGTGGGTATTTTATAGCTATAAAGGGCAGAATGTTTGCAGAGAGAGAGGACATGAACAACAACACAACTTACTTTCTACATTGTAACTTCTGTGTAGTTTTTTCCCTTTTACTTTCTACTTTGTTACAAACAACACAACAACACAACAACTTACTTTCTACTTTCTACTTTCTACTTTGTTACCATCAGTTCATCGAAAGAAGTCTTCATCCATTTCAGGCATTTGAACCAATACCATAATTGCTTGATTTTCTTCTTGAACTTATCAACTTTAAATTACTGCTTCGTTGTTGTCGATATAGGCCCACCATAATTTTACTAACAATAAATCCATACTTCCATAGTAAACATTAAATAATTTCACAACTCCTGTTCGTAACTCGTAATTCATATACTAATCGGCATGGAGATAAAGTAACGAGTTCGTTGGGTTACTTTCTCCAAGTAACACCCAAAATTAACTGCCACTTGGATTATATACAAAATGCATGTGCTGGTATGTAATTTTGCAAACCCACTTGGACAAAATTCGTATTTTACTCAAAATATAATACTAATTTACCGACACAAGTCATAACAAATCAATACGAAGCGAAACACATCGTTAGTTGATAAACCACACCGCAAAAAACCCTTCAGTTAGATCTAACCAAATATGGAACAGAAACAAGCAACCCGCAATAGGAATCTTGGAATACAGACATAAGCCAATTTTCCATCCAAAACAATACACAGACAACCCATATATATCTCACCTCACCTTCAATTAGTTTTCAAAATGATAAGTCACTGCAAACACAAATGACAACATCACTCTAAACAATATGGGAAATTTACAACTCGTGGCCTTGTACATAAGTAACGTTGTGCCATTTCCTGGCATTGTACATAACCAATTATTTACACGTTACGTACATCAATCCGTGCAAAATGAAAACTACATACATTATTTCCATGTGTTTTCAATAGCTAGTACTGTCTACCTAATAAATGAAGGGAATAAGTAAATCATACAAATTATACAATTACCTGATTCACCTCATCAATTGTGTTCGAATCATTTTTCCACACTGCTGCTTCAGCACTACCGTATTGGCCCATAGGCTGCTTCGAATCAGGAGAAACATCGAAAAATAGTCGTCGTTGCTTAATGTGCGGTGTACTTGGATCCATCAACCCAGTTTTGCAGCGAACGGGCAATGACTCCGCATTGTACTCACGGTCAGTTATGTGGGGTGTATCTGCATCTGAGTTAGTACCCAGTGTTCGGCTAAACCGAACCTTAGGACACGTTCGCTTTGTGGGCCCAATGCATTTGCAATTCTCACATTTTCTTGGTCTTCGACAGTTGGACGAGGCCCATCCTGGGTTCCCTTTTGTCTTCACAACATCAGGATCTTCTACTCCAAATTGTCGACGGAATGAATGTTTCCCTTTGTCTCCATTCCCACCGTTCAAATTCCTCTCATATAACTCCTTCATCCGGATCGTCATCGGAAGACATGGATCTCTAGCCTCTTTGAAACCTTCCGTTGATTGCGAGGCATAGAAACACATTTCGTTGTAGGAAGAACTCAATATTCCATACCGGGCCGTCTGTATTGTAGTGCTATCAATTGAGGGTTGAGGCCATTGCTGGCCATCCTTGCTTGCAACCCTTGTCCATTTATGCAGCACACAAGTTGGGGGAATTTGCGTTAAATTTTCAGCTTTCATAACACATATCATGTGGCAGCAAGGTAACCCCAACGACTCAAACTTCATGCAAGAACATCTCATTGCAGCATCCATTGGACTGTGTGTTACTATCCATGATCTGTCCTTCACTTTGTACATATGAATATAGTAGCATTTCTGACCATCCAGCAAAGGGAACACGTCCTTGACATTCAACTTCCCCTCTTCTAAGATTTCATCACGGAACATTCTAAATATATTTCGAGTGGATAGCTTAGCTCCATGTCTCTCTATATCTCGCAATGGAGTAATCAATACTGGAAAAGTGTTATTTGTTTCAGCATCATCTCCAGCCTCGTTATACCTTATCCTTGCAAGAGCCCGATCATAGTGCCTAACAAATTCATATAGCTTCAATTTGTGTTGGAGGAAGGGATTGAAATAAGCATTCATACACTCCGAGCGCTGAGTGCTCTTCATCCCAGCAAAGAAATGTCCACGCATATATGCCTCAGCCCACATATGACGCTTCTCATATGTCTCCAACACCCAACTATTGGTTTGAAGTCCAAATTTTTCGACCGTTGTCGTCCAGCCATGCTCAAACTTTGTCTCATCCGTTTCCATGTCCATGCACTGCTTGAAAGCATGTGCAAAGCCACTTATGTGAACATTTGAAACAGCATTTTTCCCAAGATGCCAATTACATAATCGATGTCTTGCGTCTGGAAATACTCTTCTGATTGCCTCTCGCATCGCCTTATCCCCATCTGTCAGTACGGACACAGGTGCTTTATTGCCCATCGCCTTCATAAATGTTTTCAAAACCCATGTGTATGTCTCAATTGTCTCATTAGCTAGCAAAACACATGCAAATATCTTGGTCCTAAAGTGGCTAGTCACACCAGCCAACATGACAAAAAGTTTCTTGTATGCATTGGTTCCGTAAGTTGAGTCAAATATCAACACATCACCAAACTTTGCGTAGTCGGCCCGCGATTTCGAATCGGCCTAGAACAGATTTTGTAACTTGTTATCGTTACACACATCATACTTGTAAAAAAAAACGTGCATCAACATCAAGTTTTGCGCATAGGTAAACCAACGCACCCTGCGCATCACCATCCTCAACTTCTGCTCTACGTTCGGCTTGAATATGGTTGTGCAGATCCGTGCGGATGAAACCAACATTCTCATAAGACCCGGACTGATTTACCATATAGTCCATGATTTGGCTAGTCTTCACACCGACATTGCGCATAGCCATTGCTTGAGCTTTGTCAGCGCTGTTTAAACTGCGATGTGATCTCAGATACATCACACAGTGTTGTTCCGTCAATTCATGGTTGTGGTCTGCGACGAAGTGAGTCACAACATACTTTCTCCCTTCACCAGCATCCGCATCGTACCGTATGCGAAATTGGGCTTTGCAACCTACTCTTGTTAGTGCCTTGGGAGCTCTACTCTTCTCAGCAACACGGTCCAAGTATTTTGGTAATCTCTGACCTTCCCTTGAACACAACCACAGCCTACTAACGACCTTTCCCTCTTTATTTGTGTTAAATCTGGATTTTCGTATACTAAATCCCTTGGCTTTAGCATACGCATTGTAGAAATCTTCTCCATCTTCGACCGAATCAAATTTCTGTTCCAGAATAGCACGTTCAACATCACCAACCATGTCATTGCGGTGAGCATCGTCAACCATTTCTTTTTTCACATCGGCTCCGCCATCTTCAACGTTCATGTTGGTTGCTTCTTCATTGCTCGGACCAGCTTCGCAACCATGATCAGGTTTTGCCCGACTTTCATTCATCAAACAAATGTCATCCGCTTCATTTGGAATGTCATAATCATCACCTTCCCTTTTAACTTCCGTTGGGGCCATACTACACATGACATTACTACAAACAATTACTTGATGACCGAAAATTGTTAACACAAACACAAACATGACATTTTCACATGGTTTAGCTGTTTGTGCAAACACAAACACTCGCTTGAGAAAGAGAAAGAGAAAGGTTAGCTGAAGTGAACGGGCCTTCCGTTGGAGCGAAGCGTAGAGCGGTTGAAGTTAGGATGGGGGTTTAGTTGAGGAAAAATAGCTGAAATGAACGGGCCAGAGAGAAAAAGAGGGAGACAGAGAGAGGGAGACAGCTCCATACCTCATATCTAGTTCGAGAGAAGGGCTTCACTTCAGCAATGGAACCAACACAGCCTTCTAGGTTACACTGACTCAACCTTACACAGAGAGGAGAACAGAGAGAGATAGAGACGAAATACAGAGAGTGAGTGGGATGCAATCATGCAAATACAAGCATTAAACGGTTGCCCCGGTTTCAATTTTTTCACGATTAAACAATTCAATGGTCTTGATCAATTATTGTAATCTAACGGCTAACAATTGGGTTGCATATGGTGTGCAACCTTAAGGGGGTTGCGCACTTAAGCAGGACCTATTTCAAATATATCAGGATAAATTTTTCCTTTTATATGGTTATTTTAGAAAGATGATTATAATCAATTTTTTGGTAAAAAACTACTTATAAGTAACTTATAAGTAACTTTTTTGTGAGAGAAGAAGTGGGTTATAATCTGAGAAGTGGATTATAACCCACTTCCCAAAATAGGCCATAGTATTTGCAAGGGTGTGCTGGTAAATCTTTAAAAATATAAATTTTGATTGTAATTAAAAATATACATATTATGTGCCTCTTAAGTGGTAAGGGTCTTGTGGAAGTGTATTTTTAAATTTGTAAAATATAAATTTTAATCTTGATTTAAAGACACACATATTGTGTGTCGCTCAAGTGGTAAGGCTCTTGTCTACCAGATCGACAGTCTTGATTGCAAGTCCCAACCTTCCCTCAATATAATTTTTGTATTTTAAACACTTTGCTCCATATCAATATTAGCTCTTTCTCTCTCTAGTTTGAGAGTTTCTCTCTCTAAACTTTTCTTTCCTTAGGGTTTCAAAGCTTGCAGCAACTGGCAGTGGGGGAGGGGGTTTTTGGCACCCTCCGGCATCCTCTCCCCTTCCCCTACCCCTCCTTTTTCTCTCCTTTACTTGCTTTGCTATCAAATAACTTGGAAGCTCTGGCTTTCCACCCTCTCCCTCCTTTGTGAGGTGTTTCCCCCCTCCCATCCATCAACTCAGGGAGTGGCTTCACGGATCCGCCACCACCACCACCTTCACCTCCTCCAGTTTCTCAGCCCTCTTCCTGTCGCCTTCACCTTTGCCGGACTCACCAACGCCACTGCTGCCAGTAGTTTGCTTGGATGTGGCTTTGGGTCTTATTTTGTTTGTTTTCTTTTTATTTCCTTTCTTCTGTTTGGTTGTTGTTATGGGGTTTGTCTGGTTTTAAAAGGCCCTAAGTTTTGGGTTTGTTTGGCTGATTTTGTTTAAGTTTATCAGTGCGGATTTTTTTCAACTTACTCTCTCTGTGGTTGGGATCTATGATATATCTTGAATATGCTCTATTGCCAAACTTTTATGATCGGCTTTGCTTTGCAGTACGAGCACAAGCACAAAATGTGAGTTCGACTATTTTCATAGTTTTTTCTTCCTCTATGCTTCGCCCCTTATCTTCACTTTGTTTGGTGTAAGTTTTGGGTTGGATGGATTCATGTAAATGCCATTTGGCTTCTTGAATGAAATATTTCTTCCGATAAAAAAAAAAAAAAAGGCTAACGTCCATTGTTTTGTTTTATAATATCCGTATTATTTCAAATGAATTAATTATTGAAGGACACTTTTCAAAATCAAAACATTTAACATTTTTTGCCAATGCCATCTCCAAGCTTCAGTTGAAAACATCCTTAGATTTATTTAGGTGATGTCTGATAAATTTAAAAATTAAATACTGAATTTTTAAAAAATTATTATCTTTAAATTGTAACTTTCAATTTTATGTTGTAATACTGATTTGGTGGTAGTGGGGTGGTGGTGGTGGTGGTGGTGGTGGTGGTGGTGAGGATAACAATAGTGCCTATAGCACTAATAATGACAATGGTGTGGCAGATAGAAAAATAATGGTTGTGATAATGGTGGATAAGTAATGTAGTGGTGATAAAAAAAGGGCATGGTGGTGGTTATGGCAACGGTGACAATAGTTATAGAGATGAAGGATTGTAATAATTATTGTAGTGGTGACTGTGGTGGTAGTGGTGAAATAAAAACGATGATTATGGTGGTAATGACAATGGTGATGAAGATGGTGGTTATGAAAGGGCGATGGTGATGGTGGTGGTGGTGATAACAATGTTAGAGGTGTGTGATGGTGGAGTTTGCGAGCTTATATGGTGTATGTTAATATTTATGTATAAATATTTATAAATTCAGTCATAATTAAATAAATTTTTATCACTTTAAAATTTTTAAATTTTCTACTTATATTTTAAGAATTACTTAAGTTTTTAAGTAATACCATTTGTAATTATCAAACAAATTTAATTAATTTTCACCTAATAGATTCAGTTTTATGCATTAAATTAGTTTATGAAACACCACCTCGGTCTCAAAAACAATAAAAGATTAGAACGATTTAGTTTTATTGTTTAAATAGTATTAGGTTGATAAACACATCACAAGCTCCGCTTAGTGGTGTAATTTTGGCCCGGCCCGGCCCATCTCGGCTTGGGCTGGCCGGCCCATGTCGGGCCTTACGGGATCCTGCCAAAAAAATCAGGCTGGGCCGACCGGCCTATGGGCTAGAAAATTAAGCCCAGGCCCAAGTTTAGGCCCAAGGGTATTCGAGCTTTGGGCGGGCCTCGGACCCTTGGGCTTAAGCCTGGGCTCGGGCTTTGGGAGGGCCTCAACAGTTTTTTTTTAATTTTTTCCACCAAAATTTTATTATTTTCCATTAAAAATAACAGTGGGCCTCAGATGGGCCGAGCTGGCCAGGCCTCGAGTCGGGCTTTTGGGTGAGCCATGGGTGGGCCTTGATCGGGCCGATAGGTCGGGCTAAGCGGGCTGGGCCCATGGGCCAGACCGGGCTTCAAAATGATGGCCCAGGCCTCAGGCTGGACTTGGGCTCGGGCCTTAACGGGTCGGGCCCACCTCGGGCCGCGGGTGGGCTTCGGATCGCCCGCGGGCCATGGGCCAAAATTGCACACCTAGCTCCGCTGTAGCTCAACTACAAACTCAGCCTCTAAGAATATTCCAAATTCGAATCCTGGCAGCGGAAATTGACTTTTGTTTTGATGATTATTGTGGAATGGCAACATTTTACTATTTCCTCCTTGTTATGCTCAACGATATTAGAGCAACGACTTTCTTTTCATACTTTTAGAAAATTATACTCTATTCTCTAAAATTTAACTATTACATCAATTTGATATTTCTAGTTTAGTTGTATCAATTTTTATTTTTATTTTTTTAAGATAGTTAGCAACCGAGCACATACCATGTGTGTGCAAGTTAAAAAAAAAAATTATAGGAAAAAAGTTACATGTAAAAATTATATAAGGCGAATTACACTAACAGTCCCTATAGTTTGGGGTTCATATCACTTTACTCCTTGACTTTGTAATTGTAATACATTTGACCATAAATTTTGAATCTTATTTCAAATAAGGACATTTGAAGATGTCATCGCTTAATTTTAGGGGCAAAAACGTCAATTTGATAAAATATAATCCAATTAGATAAAAATTAATGTCAAAAAATATTTTTAAATTTTTAAAAATTATTTCTATCCACCAAAGATACAATTATGTAAAATTATTAAATCTTTTCGGCATTTATTTATTTATTTATTTCACTAAATTAATTTTTATTATGTGTTTGGATGATGATCATATAATAGGTGGTTGTTATGATTTTAATATGCAATCGGTATATTTGATTCTCCATCTGTTCCAAAATAATGGCCTCATTTATATTTTAAAAATATTAATTTTTCAAAATTATTCTTTGATAGTATATTTTTTTCGAAATATCAATTGTCATAATTGTACTTTTTGTGTTATTAATGAATTTAAAAGAAGGGCAAAAAAGTAAATTCATATTATTTTATTCCTTGATTTTTGAAAAGGGACTAATATTTTGGGACAATGAAAAATAGAATAAGGGACTAATATTTTGGGACCAAGGGAGTATATGAAATGTTTTTAGCTTTGAATTTTTTGATTTAATGAATTGGTTTAATAATGATATCTAAGTTGTCACCATATTTGACTTTTGGAAAAATAGAACTAATTTAATGAAAATAAAAACGTATGATATCATCCAAACACATAATAAAAATTAATTTGGTAAAATAAATAAATGTCTAAAAGATTTATAATTTTACATAATTACATCTTTAGTAGATAGAAATAATTTTTAAAAATTCAAAAATATTTTTTTGACATTTATTTTTGCCAAATTAGTTTATATTTTATCAACTTAACGATTTTGCCCTTGAAATTAAGCAATGGTATCTTCAATTGTTCTTATTTGGAACAAGACTTAAAATTCAGAGTCAAATATTTTACAATTGAAAAGTCAATGATCAAAGTAAGGCAAGTCCCAAATTACAAGGACTATTAGTATAATTCGCCCAATTAAATACTTGTTTAGACCTATTTTGGAATAAAAATTAGGGACTGGCTTCCCTCCAGCCCGATCTAAGACTGGAGGGTACTGTTGGGCTCGTGGGGCCCACCACGGGTCCCATTTTGACAATCCGAACCGTTCAATATGTAGAAATCGTCAAGTACTATATTTTTGTAAAATATCACATTAATTGGATATCAATAGCTATTTCATCGGATCATATTTCTGTCAACCATTTATTTTTTCATCGTCTATTTTTTTATGCAAAATTGATTTGATCACGTAGCTATCAATATCCGATCAACGTGACATTGTAGAGTTATATAGTACTCGACAAGTTCTACACATTC